GCTCCCACCCCCTCACACTCTCACACACAGACACACTGTGAATCTGTTGTTGTTGTTGTAGTAAAGGAAATTATCAATTGTTTGATATTGGCTCGTGCATTTTCTTTAATTGCCATAAACAATTGATACATATTTGTTTATTGGCCAGCGTTTATTTTTACACAAAATTGTATTTTAGTTTTTGTTCGATATATTCTTATAGATATAAACAACATTGATCTATATGTAGAGAAGGAATGAATACATATTTTTAACAAGTTGGCACGTGCCGCAGCTAAATCTGAACATTTATTTATGCAGCGCCACAGCTTACGTACTATATAGATATATAAACAGAGAGACAGACAGAGAGACAGACAGTTAGACAGTTTTATACATAGATATTGTCTATGGATGTCTGCATCATCCATTCAATGTTTTGAATTAAAATGTTTGTTTTTATTGCCTTATTTTATCCATGTTGTCTTATTTTGCATGCTGCTGCTGCTGCTGCTGCTGCTGCTGCTGCAACAACACGAACAGCTGCTGACTGGGTGGTCCGCAATGTCCAGACTCTGGGGAGCAACAGCAGCCAAAGAAGGCACGTCTGGCATTGCTTTGGCAATTGTTGTTCGAATGGATTGTGACCGTGTGTTTATTAATTTCTTGCGCCAATTTGTCTACAAAAATGTTGTGAAATGCTATGCAGAGCTAGCTGGGACAGGGAAAAGGAAAATCAATGGAACTGTTTTTTTAATTTGAGCGCTTTTTTTTTGTCAGAGACAGACTTTTTTTGGGGAAATTTTAATCATAAATATAGCTTATGTTTCTATATGTTCAAGCAATTATCTAAGGAAAGGCTTATGGCTTAATTTCTAGTGCCCATTTACTTAGGACTACTGTAATACGATTAAAATATTATCCTATAACTTGGAGAATATGGCAAAAATATTGGTTGTTTCAAGAATATTTATTTGAATATTTCCTTGGTCAAATCAAAGCGAGATAAACTTTGATAAACCTCATTTGTTCATCAGTCAGCCTCGATTCTATCACTTAGTTATATCTTGTACTATTAACTATCAACATATAATCTTAAATATCTGCCCCGTCCGTTTCTCCTTCTCGCTCCTGCTCTCATTCTCAAATCCATTTCCTGCAGTTGCAGTCATTAATCTTCGTTCAGCGGCAGCCTCGGGCTATGCTAAACTTCAGCATAACAATTAACAGCTAGACAGGCGCTTAAAGTACTTGAGAATTCGAATTGCTTTGTATTTTCACTCTGCTTGCCTCATTTAGTTGGAGGAATTACAATTTTTAACCGAACAGCTAGTAAATCCCGCTCTATACCGAAATCAATATTAAGTCTAAGACTATTTATAGTCTTGCAACCAAATTAGGGAATAGAATGGACGACATCAACAAATTATAATAATTATGAACACGAATGTGTCACGGATGGGGCCCGTTTGGGGGATCGCTCAGAGGAAGAGCCTGTCGAAAGGATTGCACATGCGCCACCACAAATAAAACGTGTGTTCCGTTTGCCGTCTGCTGGGCAAGGGGGAGGCAAGCGTAGCTAAAGATGCCACAGACAGACAGCAACTACACATATATATGTATGTATGTATGTATGTATGTAAATCTGTATGTCTTATGTATTTGCTTAAGTGCATTTCCCCAATGCTACCTACAGCCAAATGCCACGTAGAGCACGCGTGAGTTGGGCCAGAGAGATTTGCTATGGGATTATATGTGGAAGACTGCTCAGTTTACTAATTGCTTCCGCTACTGCAGAGGCTACGGCAACGGCGACGGCAACGGCTGCTGCTGCTGCTACGGCTGCTGCTTGAAGTTTTTAGGGGTCTAGAGATTCATTTTAATTGCATTTCTTTTAACGGTAACATCAGCCAGCCCCCAGCCCAGACCCAGTCGGCTGCAGCAGCCGATCCCTGAGTCAACGTATGGTCGCTCTGTCGGCTGTGATGCTCTGCTTTAGCTCGGCACCGTCGTGATGGCGGGACGGACGGACGTTGCCCGGACGGCGACGTCAATAACATTTGTGTCTGCACACAGGCACATGAATATATATATTATATATGTATATATATGTGTGTGTAATGTAGTTGCGCTCAATAACAAAAATCAAAGGAAATATATATAAGGCAGCATATACTTACATATGTATGTATGTATGTATGTATGTATGTATGTATATATGCTTAGCTCTCTAGTTGTATTCCCTATAGCAAAGATTTGATCGCAATGGAGGTGAGAAATATATACAGAAGCAGATATACGTACACACACACACACGCGTGTAGCAGTGATCATAAAATGCATTTCCACATGGAGTGGGGAGAGAGCCACTTGAGCTGCATTTGAGCTAGGCAAGGAAGCGGCTAAAGGATGTGCATACTTGAGCTATGTGGAAACGCTGGCAGACAAGAGGAAGCTGTAAACGGGAAGACAAATAAGAGCGCCTCACTCTCCCTCTCTCTCTCTCTCGCTCGCTCTCTTTGTATGTGTATGTGTGTGTGTATTTTGTCTATCATTGACTTTTTGGCACATATACGGTTCATTTGACGAGCCGAATTGGAGGCGCTGCCATGTGCTGCATGCCAGCAATAATAACAACAACTACAACAACAACAACAAATTGTGCACACATGTTGCGTATGTTGTTCTTATTTTCTGTCTTTTTTTTTGGTTAGATTTTCAGCAGAGTTTTCCCTGCATTTCGTTTTTTCGTTAGCAACATAAAACTAACAGCTGATTGAGCAAGCACTATATATATCAACAACTATATGTATATATGTACCTATAATTATGCGTGTGTAAGTGTGCGCAGGATTTGGTTTGAGCTGTGTATAAAAATATCCGTCAACAGCTGAGCCACTGACGTCACACGAAACGCTGGCGGAGTGTGAAACAACAGCTGGCAATTGATTTTTACGTATATATTTACATATTTATATTTGCATGTATGTATATATGTTGTATATATTATATGTACTACGGTTGTCTAAAGTGTTCAATGTACTTAATTGCTAATGCTAACAACAGTTCAATCTTAATCTCCTGTATTAATGTTATAGGTCTTACATAGTGTTAACATTAACAGCAATAGCAATAGTAAAAGTAATTCTTGTATGTATGCATGTATATGTGTATGTATACATGTACTTGTGCATGTATGTATACATATATGTAAGTACTGTTACTATGCTGTTAATGTTAGCGCGTATGGTGCTGTTAAACTTTTCTAATAATTTTGTATTACTTCTCTTAAGATTTCTAAAAACAATCTATTTGTATATGTTCTTAATTTTAAAGTTTCTGTCAGTGCTCGATTCGCTTTTACCATAATTAGTGCTGTTAATGCAAGCTATCTGTTAATATAGGACTGTTAGGATTTTTAAGAACGTTGCATTAGTTAATGCTGTAAAAGTTAATGTTTCTGTTACTTTTGGAATCGCTGTTAGTGTTGCTATAGCTGTTAACTCCCAATATAAATAAATAATAATAATTATAGAGCTCTATCAATCTCTAAGATTAACAATGCTGTTGAGCAAATAAATGGAAGTAGTTAAATAAATTAAATCGCCGTCTGAGAGCAGATCTCCAATTCCAAGATGATATGACTTTTGGCCCTGAAAGGCAAACATACTTTGCATAAAGTTTATTAACATTTCATGGATGTTTTATTAAGAAAGCAGCGCACGCCAACGAGAGGCTGTTACGCTAATGTCCCTAATACCACATCAGTCTTAATACAAAGACACTGCGCAAGTTTCAGAACAGAACCGAACGAAAGTTGAATACCAGATATGCATGTCTGCTCCTCTGTCTGTCTGTCTGACTTTCTGGCTGGCTTTTTGGCATGAAGCGAGACAAGCCAAAACCAAGGCTGTCAAAGCGCGCCTCATCATGAGCTCTGAGCTCTGAGTGCGATTGCGATTGCGAATTGTGAATTGCAAGTTGGCTTGGCAAGATTTATGGTATCCTTTCAACTTTAAACTGGCATTGCGCAGAGCTGACAAATGCCCCTCACCAAGTTTGAACTCAGGCACTCTCACTCTCTCTCTCTCTCTCTCTCTCGCTGTCTGTATGTTACTAAGCCAGCTCAAAGGGGGGGCGCTCGGCTCAACTCTTTTAGAGCTGCTCGGCTTGCGCTACCCTCTTTGCAGGAGGTTACAGCCAACGCGTGTGCATTGAACTGATCGTCATAAATCGCGTGCTTCAGCTGCCTCTTGCTGCTGCCTCCATCTGCTGCTTGCCTCTCTGCTGTGTTTGGGGGCGTTCAAAACGCTTCGACAGTCAAGATTAATTGGCTGCGCCAGTGTTGTCATGGCGATAGAATGTGCTTAAATGCTGTTATTGTATTCATTTCACTTAACAATGTTGGACTCTCGATACCCTGGAGCTGGGGAGCTAAGCGATGAGGTAACCAGAGAGCAAAGTCTAACTGAGTAAGAGATGTAGGATTCCGATGAATCAATTAGAGATAATGGATAAAATCAAATGAATTTGGCAGGAGATCATGATGCTCCTAGTTTAACTGTTGAAAGTATTTTATTCCACTTAATTTACTCAGCTCATCGTCCTGATCAAGAACATATTTTTATTTTAATTAATGGGAAGATATACCTGAAATTTGGGCAATAATCGCGTCATATAATATAGCTAAAAAGACTTGAACCTACACCTATGTAAAGGGTATCTCTTAGTCCTGCAAAGCTGCAATTTTTGTAACTTATATCAAATATGTTTAAATATATTTTTACATTTAATAATCATCTATATATGATTTATAACAATTTATTCATTTACAGCCCTTTAAAGGGCATCTATTAGTCCTTCATTCAGGCTTTAATCACAATTTCAAATAATTTGTTTGCTATATTTTCATTAGCATTTACCACCACTTTTACAGGGTAACTGTTAGTCGTTCACTTAGCACTCTTCTCAACTTGTTTCATTTACTAACTCTCTATTTTCTTATTGTTTTCTTTTTGCAGCAAAACTTTTTTGTACCTGTTCGCTAAAGGCAAACTTTAATAAGGTAAGTGTGCAAAGAGGTTCCTCAATTCCCAGTTTTCCTTTTCAATTTTTCCGCTGGCAGTTTTCATTTCTTATAACGGCGAAATGAAAAGTTTTTTTTTAATTTTATTTATTCTTTCTCGTTGTTGCTGTTGCTGTTGTTGAAGCTTAACTTGAAACACTGAGCACGTGCCGCGTATTATGCTGCAGCCACGGCCAGTGTCTCACTGTCTCACTTTCGCAGTGCCTCTCTCTCTCTCTTTCGCCTTGTCTCTGTTTTTGTATGCGTGTTGTGTTTGCTCACAAGGAAAATATTTACACTCAATGGAACATAATAAAGACATTAAAAATATATATCACATATTATGTGTGAGGCGATGGGCAACAGGATGCGATTGCAAGTGATGCCAAGTGTGTGTGGGTGTGTTTACACGTGTGACGATATGTGTGCGTGTGTGTGTGTGTCGCTGCGTGTGACACCCGCCCACTACGTGCCAATTTTCAATGTGTGCCTAAGTGTCATACTTACCGCTCTCACGCTCCGTCTCTGTCTATCTACCTCTACCTCTACCTCAACCTCTGTCTCTCTCTTCTGTCCTGCCCAGCGATGCGTGTGTTTTCTTCTCGTTTTTTCCATCTTAGTCTCTCTGACTCCTTCTCTCTCATTGCTGCTCTCTGCTCTTGTAACAGTTAAAGTTTCTGTGAGCTTTACTTACCGCATACAGGTGTATATCTACTTGTGGGATTCTTTGCTGTCTGTCTGGCTGCGTGTGTGTGTGTGTGTGTGTGTGTGACAGACAGCCAAGCAAAATAGCATCGTCATAATGATTGATATGCCTGCGATGTGTAGCTGATTTCAGAATGATTGCCAGATGTCTCGCCCTCTCTCACTCATTCACTCGCTCCTTCTCTCTCCCTCTCTCTCTTAGTAAATTGAATTACAAATAGCTCGCTTTGTGTGGTTTGAGCTTATGCAACAGATTATGAATTATATATGTATATTAAAAATATATAGCAAGCTGTTGAGGTAGCTTATATAATGCCTCTATTTATATAGATTTCGTATACATACATACAAATATATTTAACAAAAAGCAAACTTTAATTTACTGTAATTAAACCAATTAGCATCAAGTTTATAACGGACTGGAAACTGTTTTTACTGTACATTGAAAACTTTTCCCTTTTGTCCTTGAACTAATGAACGCAACATGAAAATACTTTTATGGCTGTCGAAATATGTGTGTATATATATACATATATATATGTATATGGATATCACTTATTTAAACCGATTCACGTTCAAGAGCTATAATGAATATTGCATGATGAAACAATTTTTGGATGGCAGAAAACCGTTAAAGGACATCACTTATCCGCGTGTCCAAATCAATTAGTGTGTGTGTGTGTGATAAACTTCAACCGTGTGTGGGTGTGTGTGTGTGTGTGTGGCATCCATTTCAATTATAATTTGTGGCACAAGTGTGGTTGTGTGTGTGTGTGTCTGTGTGTGTGGGTTGTGGGCAGCATAAACCTTTTTTAGTGCAGCGTGTGTCCTTGCCAAGGCATTTGCATGGAATATTTGTCAGAGAACTTTTATTTGTCATTTGTGCGCTGTCACCTGGCCCAATGGCAGCAAAAATGGGTTGAAAGATTGGCCAATAAACTGGGCTTAAATGTGGCTAAATGTGGAAACAAGTGGCACTAGCATTGAAACTACCTTTCAGCATTTACGCTATGGATTTAGATAGATATCTCCACGTAATTCTCTGGAGCAGTTCAAATTTGTTTGCTGTTAACTAATTCAGTTGCAGCTGGAACAATGGGACAGAATAATAGAGTAGGTGTGTGTGTGTGTGTGTGTGTGTGTGTGTATAAGTGTATGTGTGTGTGTGTGTGTGACACGCTTACCTTACCTGTCAGGGCCACGTTTTCTGGCCACTTTAACAGCAGCCATGGCAGCAGCAGTCGCCGACGCCGACGCCGACGCCAACGCTGCTCATCATTGATGCAAACAGTGAAATGCTTTCACCGCTCAGCTGACGCGGGCACCAGCACAGCCCAGCCCAGTGTCCCCCCACTGACTGTCGCACACACACACACACGTGTTAACGTTGCCTTATTGAAGCTGACAGGCTGCCTTTGCCTCTTGTTGCTCTGCGGCAGCGGCTGGCCGTGTTGCCTGTGCTGCTTTCCTCCGCGTGGGCGGGCAACAGCACAAAAGCATTGAGCAAAATTGATTAGATTAGGCAACTCCGGCAAGCGAAACAAACCGTGGAGTATTTATGCCGCAGGAGCTAAAGAGGGGGGCGAGCACTGGAGAGAGGGAGAGGGGGAGGGAGGGCTGTGGGGCAGGCAATGCTGGAGGGTGGAGAATCGGTGGCACTTTGGAGTGTGCCTCCTTGTTGCACGTTTAGCAACGCTTCAGTTGACAACGGAGACACAACATTTTTGTTTGTTGTCTAAGAAAATATAATTTCTATGTGGCTTTTTCATGCCACCGATACGGTGAGATTGAAATGGGGTCTGTAATGGGGTATAATGAGCTGAAGGTAACGCGTGTCACAGTAATAGGTAATCAGAATAAGGTATAAAGGCTGATTAGAAGATCAAGCTGTGGCTGTTGTAGTTTGTTGTTTGTAGTTGAAGAGCATGGGAAACATAGAGATGGAAAATAGGTATTTATATAGAGATATACATATAAGATCAGATGACTAATCGTAGGAATAATAATAATAAATAGAGAGAATATACACACTTCTCTGGCAGATGGTTTGAATACTAGGACATCTTCTTCAAAAAGAGATGAAAGAAGAAAACATGGAGAGAGAATTATAGCTTCAGAGAAAGCCAGAAGTGTACAAAGACAAACTTAAAGCAGAGAGAAAACAAAGGGAAGATAGAGAAAGATAGATGGATAAAGGTAGAAAGAGAGCTTAAAAAGGTATAGGTATTGAGATAGAAGTGGAGAGGTGTAGAGAGAAATAGATAGAAAGAGAGAAAGAGCAAGATCTCTCTATCATACTTGAATATAAATGTCCATCTTATATAGCCACGGTTTAACACAAGGTAATCACTTATAATGGAAACATCATAATAAAGAAATAAGTATTCAATATTCTATTCTATAATTAATTACAGGATGTCTGCTAGTCGTGCTTCTGCTTCATGGTACTCACCTGTTATTTGGCTTTTATTTTATATGCTTGTAGGCATTGTCCTTAAACCAGCTTCTAATCACATTTAAATTGCACTCAAAGCGTGCACACACACCAAACACCCTTGCACACCGTCTCACACACCCTCTCAAACACCCCCCCACTCCCACTGTCAGTACGCCCCCGTTCATATTTGTGATGAAACGATTGAGAGTTTAAGCGCCTTTTAAGACATGCGATTGAAATGTAATTAGGCAATGCTAATGCTTCGATCCTTTTGGGGGTTGTTGTATCATCTTCAATCAGCAGCATCCGAGCTTTTCATTCAATTTGACACAGAGGCCAAAGTAATTACGGGCCTAATTGCTTTTGTCGCTGCTTCTTTATTTGCACTGCATGGGCGCAAGTTGGTCAAATGGAATTGAAATTGCCCAGCGTATTGAGATATATTAACATTAAGCCAGGTCTTATTGTATTATTATGGAAATTGTAAAGAATCTGTCGAAGGAGACCGTAAGGCGAACAAATCAAGCTGAGAGCGCTGAAATGTCTTTCTAATAACGCAATTCTAGGAAAAAAATTAATTTAATTTTCATTAAAAGAAAAGTTTGTTATGCAGGAAATTGCAATTTTAAAGGCTTTTGATAGGCGAAAAGGTAGGATATAGAAGATAAAAATAGACGAATAAATGTTGATAAATCATAGAAAGTAAATAGTATATGTTAGATCAGATATAGTAAATAATTGATAGATAATAGATGATAGATTATGGGTTTCAAATTATAGATCCCCAGTTATAGATAACAGAGCGAAAAAAGATGACATATATAAAACATGAAACTTGGCAAATTGGAAATCTCAAATGAGAGATTAACGATGGGAAAATACGAGTTGGAGGATCGTAGATCGGAAACGCAATATATCATATTTCATTCTTGAACTTTTAATGTTTTATAGATATTTTTTATAGATAGCAATAAAATAGGCAGTCTGATATTTTCTGGAAGTTATGTTAATACACCATCTCAGCATTAAAGACTTTTTGGAACGGAAATTTCAGGCACTTTAATTTACATGCAAAGCAATACATCATCATTATTATCATGTTAAACGTCATCATCGGCATCAACTTAATTTTCGTGTTGTTCAGCTGCACTTGAGAGTAATGCGATTTGAATGAAATTTTGATGTGAAACTACCTACGCAGCGTTTACAACAACAACAACAACAAACGTGAAGAACTTCACGTGGCTTCGGCAACTAGCGCTGATAATTGTTGTTGTTGTTGTTGTTACTCTTGGTTGGGGTGCGCCTCTGCGTGGTGGCTAAAGGCAATAACAAACGCACACACACACATAGAGAGCGAATCGTTTGCAGCCGCGCTTAGCGCAAAGGATGAATTTGTTGGAATACTGTGGAAAGCGCTTAAGTGCCCGATGCGGCTGCCGATGCCGATGCCAGGGGCCGTCGCATTCAAAGTCGGACTCAACACATTGCCACAGAGTGCGCATGTGTCGCCGCATGTTGCACATGTGTGTGCAGCTAAACGTTACGGCGAACTGCCTCTGGACATGCACATGGCCTCAGCAAAGGGACGCGGAACGGGACGGACGGACTTTGCGCGAAATGCATCCAACGGCGTTTATTGAATCTGAAAGAGTGGAAGGCGCAGAAGAAGAAGAAGAAGAAGGCGAAGAAGGAGAAGGCGAAGGCGAAGGCGACTCTGGCAGTTGTCGCCAGCCACTGATGGCAGGGTGTTAAAAGTCACAAGGACACACGCACATGCAAACGCAGGCGGCTGTTGCTGCTGCTGCGGCGGCGGCGGCTGTTGTTGCAGATGCCGCAAATGCAACCGACACTGCCT